AATTTTAAAAAAAAATTACAATACAGAAACAAATACAACTGATGTGGCACCTCTATTTAAATTTACTTATGAGCAAACTGCGTAGTGGTAGGGAAATTTTGACAAGGTTAACAACGTCATAACGATGACTTAATAGTATTCTTACATTTCGGGCGATAGTGGTTACGATTACAAATTATATGAAACAGTTACAACCCCCCTCCCCCATGGACCTTCCTGTAAAAAAAATATTGTCATAATACCACTGCTACTTATTTAAATCTATTTCTGTGATATATATTTGTGTAATATATATTTGTGTAATATATATGTATGTTAAGAACAGTCGTCTAAAAACTGACGCTATGTTCACTCTGAGTTGGCTATCTCCCCCCTCCCCCTCCCCCCCCCCCCCCCACACACCTCACCACGACAATTGTGTAGAGCGACGTAATGTCACACCTAGGTATACACTGGGTTGGATAATTGACCTAAAGTGAACGGACAGTGGTGAATGAAGTTGAACCCACCCCCCCCCAACCCACCCCGAATTGATCTGTTAAGTACACGTAGAAAAACGCAGAATGATGTACTAAACTACCATGCCGCCAGAAATTTAGCTTTTTAAACGTACAACTCTGTGAATATTGTTTTTGCAATTACCAGTAAAAAGGTGTGTGATCAATACAGTGATCTAACCCATTCCTATCACTATGTTAAAAATGATCTTTAAAGAACACTATGAAGCAGTAGTTAATCAAAATGTAGGATCTGAACTTAAAGACTGATATTTAGTTAAATGTAGACTGTTATTCCCAATGTTCTCTATTATATAAAAAAGCGTGGTTTTATACCAACTCTGATTTTAAAAACTTTCATTATGCTGTGATACTTTAGCATTTATGATGACGATATATTAAATTCACCTAAACATTTTGTGAACACGAATAGTGTTAAATAATTTCATTATATTCTAAAGTAGTTATTTATTTGTTTTTCACATTTATAATTAAATGTGTAGATATATACATATTTATATTAAGAGAGTGATTATTTCCCTTATTTCACTTGTCTTAAATAATTTCCCAGGAATTATTATGTAAGAAATTTTTTTTACAAGAATTACAAAACAGATTGTGTTACGTTCATTGGTTTTGGTTGTAGTGTGTGTATAAATATATATTTTTTTTAGATTGATACAATTTTTGTTTTGTCGGCCTACATTGTGTGTTTTTTCTTATTTCTTCAGAGTGCTACTTTCAATTTATTTTACATCATAGCGAAGTAATGACATACAGCTGGTAATTATATATATATATATATATATACATATATATATTTATATATATATATATATATATATATATATATATATATATATATATATATATATATATATTATATTATATTACACGTATATAGAACTTGTTAAAAATTCGGCGCCTTTTTTGGCTCTTTTCGCTCCCCCTACAACGAAAACCTGGATACGCCTCTGTGTGGTGACGTATGTGGCGGGTTTACCTGGGGAGTGAACACAGTCAGTGAGTTATTGATAAATGAGAAGGGTGAGTCTTTGTTTAGAAACAAGGTCACGACTTTTTTAGTACTCTCATTATCTAAGTTAGGTTGTATGCGATTTCTTAAGTATCTCCCAAGTGGTCTAGTGGTTAGGATTCCGCGCTCTCACCGCGGGCGGCCCGGGTTCGATTCCCCGCTTGGGAAGATTTTTTGTATAATCATATTTATTTGTTTTGATTTAATTTGTGAAATATGTGTACGATTAGCTGTGTTAATATCACAACGTTAATCATGTACATTCAGATAAATTATTTTCTTAAAAATCTCCTATATACATCAATAGTTTACTCACGTAGTTTAGTAAAAAAAAATCTGTTTTATAAAATGCAAAGAGTCATATGCCCTTTGCGTGTATGGAGGGTGTGGATAAGACGCCGCTAGTTTGTAAAGGGGCGTATTGATAAAAACATATGTATCCTGCTGTGGATATATATAGATTCTTAACCAACAAGTTTAAATAAACCCATTTTAGCCCCACTTTAGCCCCTTTTTTAACACGTTTTTAAAACGTTTTTCTTAACTCAGCTTCGCGTTTGTTTGTTTGTTTGGATGTTTGTTGTTAAAATTGACATCGAAAATTAGCCCACTTCTGATTGCTCTAGAGACCTGAAATTTGGCATGCAGCTACTTTCGCCTAACAATTTCAGATGCAATCATAAAAACTAGCAAATAGTGACCGTAATTAGCTTAATTTAATTACGCCCAAGGGACCATAAAATTGAGGACATGATTTCTAAAGATACCGACAAGACTGCAGTCCTATTGACACAGTTACTCGGCCCCAATCGATGTGAGCGCGCTGGCCGTGATCGTATAGTGGTTAGTACTTCGCGTTGTGGGCCGCGACAACCCAGGTTCGAATCCTGGTCGCTCAAGATTTTTAGTCCGTGTATTTATAAACACTTTTTAAAAACCACGTTTTTCATGTGTAGCAACGGACTAAAAGGAGAAAATAAAATACTTAAAAAAAAACTTTTTAAAAAACCACGTTTTTTCTTGTGGACTAAAAAGTAGAAAATAACTATTTACATACATTTGATGACAAAAAACGTGGGTCGGGCAGATGGGTCGGGAAATTTGATGGTGAACGTACCCACGGTTTTTTGTCATCAAATGTATGTAAATAGTTATTTTCCTACTCTTTTTAGTCCACAAGAAAAACGTGGTTTTTTAAAAAGTTTTTTTTAAGTATTTTATTCTTAACTCAGCTTCGCGTTTGTTTGTTTGTTTGGTTGTTTGGATGTTTGTTGTTAAAATTGACATCGAAAATTAGCCCACTTCTGATTGCTCTAGAGGACCTGAAATTTGGCATGCATGCTACTTTCGCCTAACAATTTCAGATGCAATCATAAAAACTAGCAATTAGTGACCGTAATTAGCTTAATTTAATTACGCCCCAAGGACCATAAAATTGAGGACATGATTCTAAAGATACCGACAAGACTGGAGGCCTATTGCCACAGTTACTTCGGCCCCAATCGATGTGAGCGCGCTGGCCGTGATCGTATAGTGGTTAGTACTTAGCGTTGTGGCCGCGACAACCCAGGTTCGAATCCTGGTCGCTCAAGATTTTTAGTCCGTGTATTTATAAACACTTAGTCAAGTCATACTTAATCAAGTCATTAGATAAAGTAGAAAAGAAACTATATAAAAAACTTTTTTAAAAACCACGTTTTTCATGTGTAGCAACGGACCTAAAAAGGAGAAAATAAAATACTTAAAAAAAACTTTTTAAAAAACCACGTTTTTCATGTGTAGCAACGGACTAAAAAGGAGAAAATAAAATACTTAAAAAAAAACTTTTTAAAAAACCACGTTTTCTTGTGGACTAAAAAGTAGAAAATAAATTTCATACATTTGATGACAAAAAACGTGGGTCGGGCAGATGGGTCGGGAAATTTGATGGTGAACGTACCCACGTTTTTTGTCATCAAATGTATGAAAATTTATTTTCTACTTTTTAGTCCACAAGAAAAACGTGGTTTTTTAAAAAGTTTTTTTTAAGTATTTTATTTCCTTGAATTCACTTCGAGAGGGGCGGGGCGGGGGGGGGGGGGGGGGGGGGGGGATGGTGGGATGGAGAGATCGTCTACCGAAACAAAAAGTTAATCGAAAATATATACTTTTATCACCCTCGGAAAATTTAGTCCACTCCGCCTCTCCCCCCCCCCCCCCCCCCCGAAAGTATTAATCCCCCCCCCACCCTGCCCCTTAATACAAATATCAAAAGAAACAAGGCATTCTAGAACTCTGTGTTGTATTTTTATTGTATTCTATAGGGGGGGGGGGGGGGGGGCTACACCTTTGTCTCTACATCAACAGGCGATATCGCACGTTGTGTGTAGTTTAATAAGATCATAGCAATTATAAAAGCTATAAAATGTGATTGGCCAAGCGAAGATTATCGCATATAAAAATGTAAATACCCCACCACGTGTGGTAGTTAACCGTGACGTCACCGGCAACCTCTCTATGGGAAGTGGGTGAGACGAGGAAAATGTCTTAAAATAAAACTAGGTCAGCTTTGAAGGGAGATAACCAATGTTAATATAAAAATACAAGAAAACCACCACTTTCTTCCCTTATCCTCATTTATTTTTGTAAAAAAAAAAGGAGTATTACAAGGATTGCTTGACACAAATAGAAACCGTTGTTTTACAACGCTATTCAGATTATATGCACAGGTAACGTAGGTAACTCATGGCAGTCACTAGTGGTGTAAAATACCTGCAAGGCCTTTATACTCAGTGCTTGGATCTAACTCAACAGCACTCAGACTAAGATAGGGATAGAAAGTAATTTATTTAAAGTGAATTATGAGGTCATTTGTAAACAACGTCTTGATTGTCTTAAATTTTTTTTATCTCTCCCTCCCTCCTCCTCCCCATCGTCCCCATATCGTCACCCCCCCCCCCTCTCACAGAAAATGACGTCACACCTAAATCTAACACCCACTTAAAATTTGATAATAGTGTTTTTTGAAAGTCATTTCCTTTGTAAACAGTCTTTTAACAATGAACTAACAGCTAAAATTGTATTTCTATTATTTTTTTCTAATATTTGTGCAATAACCACACTTGATAATACCCGCCGCTCCCCCCCCCCCCCCCCCCCCCCCCGAAGTGTGACGTCGGTGTAGACGACCCATACAAAAAGTAATCTCCCCAAACATTACATGAATACACGTTAATACAAGCTTTCACTTTTAATAGATTAGGCAATATATACTGTTAAGCTTTTACAATAAAAAAATCGTAACACAATCCGTACATTTTTAAAACCCAGAAGGCAACCAAAGCTAGATAAAAAACATAAAACGTTATCTCCCTTATAAAATAATCAGATAACTTCAAACGGTATCTACTACACAACACAGCCAGTATATACTGTGTTGGAGTCAACACACTAGGGCTACTCGGGACACGTGTGTTTTGGTGTCAGTATGTACGTGACACTGAAACAGTGTGATAAGCTGTTAAATGGCCTCGATGTTCAGATAACACAGCACATAATTACATCAAATGTTTTGTGTCGTTTTAGATACACGCAAATAATGTGAATCATCTTATTTAATAATTCACCATAAGATAGGTGGCATATCAAAACAATCGAAAAAAATAAGCTTTCTGTTTTAGAAATTTCAATACAAATTAACACGGGATATGAGTTTGACATGAGCAAGATCGCAAGAATAGATAACAGTGAATTTATTTTGTGAGTTTTTTCAAACACAAGAAACCATTGCCTTTTTTTAAAAAAAGGTTAGTTTTCATAATGTAAATTATTTTATAAATTTCAAATTAAAAAATAACCGATATTGAATTATTTCCAAAATTGAATTGTCTTTATTTTCTTTTTTCTTCTTTTTTTTTTAGAAAAAAAAAATTAATAAAGTAACTGTATGTTTACTCTGTCACTTTATATCTTACTGTTTGTTATGTGTTACAGTTAACGCCCACACCCAATTACTTGACATTCTTTACACACTCATGCCGTCAAGCCAACTATATTATTTTTTTAAATAGCTTATTGGAGGGTTAGGCCTATCGGTAGATCGCTAGGCTGCTAACCCGTAAGTCTCGAGTTAGAATCAGAGTTTTAACCTGTAATCCTTCCCTGGAGCTGATAGCTACATAGATCTAACTCTAGTTAGTGAAAGTAAAGGCGGCTGGGCATACTGCTGACTAATTATCCATTCATTTGCCAAGGTCAAAGAAACAGGTGAACTCTACTTCACTACCCCATGGACCTTCAGGTTCAAAAAGGGTATTTACTTTACATTACTTTACATCAGAAGGCTATTGACCATCCCGTTTTAGTTACATTTTTTGACGATAAAGTTTTTGTTTTAATTCCTGAACATAGGTGCAAAATTTGCTAGAGTAACATAGAGGTTCTCGGAAGTAGCGGAACTGACTAGACTACAAACAGAAAAAAAATCAATTTTAACATGGGTAACTATATTGTCTGTGAATGAATGTGAATGATTGTGAATGAATGTGAATGAATGTGAATGAATGTGAATGAATGTGAATGAATGTGAATGAATGTGAATGAATGTGAATGAATGTGAATTAATGTGAATGAATGGGAATGAATGGGAATGAATGGGAATGAATGAGAATGAATGTGAATGAATGTGAATGAATGTGAATGAATGTGAATGAATGTGAATGAATGTGAATGAATGGGAATGAATGGGAATGAATGTGACTAAATGTGAATGAATGCGAATAAATGCGATTGAATGTGAATGAATGTGTATGAATGTGAATGAATGTGAATTGTTCCTTACTTTAAAGTTTCTGCCTCTGCGATACTCATTTGGTAATTGACTTTTGAACAAGGAATAATTCAACACTATTGAACTACATACCTTCATAAATATATCAGCTAGCTCAGTCTTAATAAGACCAGTAAAATGAGCCTACTAATTTATTTGTTAAATAAATCAATAGAGTCTATAATAATTCAGTGACTTCCCTTTACACATGTGTGCTCCAATTTTGCCAATTTTGAAACTTAAATTTTCGAAACCTTTCATAGATATCCAATCACATTTTTAAAATTGTTATATTATGGTTCCATTATTTTGGATAAAGCCAGATAATTAAATCTTCTGTTTAACTTTCATCAGTGTCTGTAGATTAGAGTTTCTTCCAGGCATCTTTTCGAGCCCCCCCCCCCCCACCTCCCGTAGAAAGTCTACTGCAACCACACCCCCCGAATGAAATGAAATTTATATAGAAAACATATACTTTTACTAGTGTCCGCCCCCCCCCCCAGGAAAATGTTATCCGCCCACCCGAAAATATCAAGTGCCCCCCCCCCCCCCCACGGTGAGAAAAGTCTGGAAGAAACACTGTTGTAGATATCCCTGGTTCGTCACCACTTTTTTTTTTTTGCTTTATGCTGGTAATACTACCAGCTAAAATTAATTTTCAATTATTAGTCTACTATGCTTTTTAATACGTGTCTTCATTTGACTTAGTGAAATAAAAATACATTGAAATCATCGAGAATATTGCTAACCAAACAATATAAAGAATTTAAATACTAAAATAATGTTCACATTGAAACTGTCTCCAGAAAAAAAAATAAAGTTTTATTATAATTTTCTTAGGTATGCCATGTGGGGTAATATTAACAGCCAATTCCAAACAAGACCACCTCTACGTGTCCTGCAAGTCTAACGTCACGTTTGAATGTCAGGCAAACGTCCACCCAGCCCCACGCCTGCTTCTCTACAGAGCCAGCAGGACTCACGTGCTAGCTAAAGATTACTCCGACAGACTGCTCACCTACACGATACACAACGTCCAGCCGTCTGATACAGGCAGGTACGGGTGTGGCATGGGGTATGCTCACGGGGAACACCCCAGCAGGGACAAGTTTATAGAACTTCGCGTTAATCACTGCACCACTCCAGGTAAGATTAATTAATTAATTAATTCATATATTATCTTTAATACCTAGATAGTGTATGCGATGAGGCTAACCCCTCGAATCCAGTTATTCAAATGTCAAAGAGGGGTCGGCGTGGTCGAATCGGTAAAACTCATTTTTGCCAAACAATATTAATATTAGTGTTAGGAGGCATCCCCTTCCAACACAATTCGATTTCAGACCGCTTTTCTTTTTGGATTTGCTTCCATAGCCTTTGTTCAACCAAGATCAAACTGCAAGGGAGGAGTTGTTTAATTTTGGAGTTGTCTCTCATAGAAGAGTGGCTGTCCCCAGCTATCGAGCCTCATCTGCCCGAGGGTTCGAACTCGTGACTTCGGTTTAGCAACCCCCTCCTTTAAATTCGAAAATAACTTATTTAAAACTAAAATATAAAAATGTGTTTTATTCTTTAATTGAAAAAAAAAAGAGGAAAGAAGAAACAGAAAAAAACAACAACATCAACAACAGAATTAAAAAAAAAAAAACCACGTCACTAATCCAATTCTGTTCCATCTTGTAGCAGCAGATGAAGCAGACGACTTGGACGACTTCAACATCATCACTCTCTGGATCGTGGCATCGGTCGCCGTCCTTCTCCTGTGTCTGGCACTCAGCCTCATGTCCTACATCCGGTACAAGAGCCGTAACCATGGCAACCGCCGGGCCAGCACCTGCGCGAGAAGGGACCTGATCGGAACTGACGTCATCTACGACCTGAGCTGCGCGCGCACCCACCTCTCGCACTGTGACGTCAGCGAGCTGGGCGTGGTGGCCCCACCCTACAGCACCGAGAGGGACGATAACTCTAATCCTCCGGCGTACGACTCGCTCCCTAAACCTCAGAATCCCGGCTCGGGGCCGGAGCAGCCAAACCATCCGGCACAACAAAATTTTCATTCATTACCTCCCCCGTACACTCCCCGCTAGGCAACACAAAATCAATGTTTGTAAACCTTGGTTGTACAAAAAATTATTATTTTATCCATGTTGAACTTATATACCATATACCCAAAGTCAGAGTTTCTTCCAGGCATCTTCGAAGAAAGTCCACCGCTTCCTCGAACGAAATGGAATTTTAATAGAAAACATACTTCTACTTCTACCAGTGTCCGCCCCCACCGCGAAAATGTTGTCCGCCCTCACCAACTCCGGAAAATATCAAGTGCCCCCCCTCCCCCGGAGAAAAAAATCTGGAAGAAACACTGCACAAAGCAGGATCATACTCAATATTTCCAAAATATAGCAATATTTGTATACACAATACGCGAAAGCGAAAAACAAAAGTAATCAATGTTAATGCTCTTTTTGTTTTGTTTTATAACTTTAATATATATGTCAATCTGGAAATAGCTTTGGGTTTTTATATTTCCTTATGAAAGAGCCTAATCTACAATGCCCCATTATGTACCTGATTGTATTTAAATATTTTCCTTGTAAACATTTCAAACTAATTTTTAAAATAAAAAACCCAACAACTTCATATTTTGTAAATAAATTGTAAGTAATTTTGTTATTAAACTATTTACTACAGTTAGATATATTACAACTGTCTACATAAATAAAGATGAATTATAAAATATAACTCTTTTGATTTTAAAAATTTCACTACAAATCTATGGTGCTACAATTCTTAATAGTGCTTTTATCGGTAACCAAATACATAGAGCTAATTGAATTTTCCCTAGTCAACATTTAAAACTACAATTGAAGGTCAAGGTTTTTTGGATTGGGTCGTCCATAAATGACGTCACACTCGTAGGGTGACAGTGTGTGATGAGGGTGGGGGGCTCAGATGGTGTGACGTCACACTTTTGCATTATAAAAAAGCTATTTTAAAAAACGAATTTTTAGATGTTATTTTACGTTTTAGATAACGTTTTTAATATATGGTATAAAGTATAAAGGAATTGATTAAAATAATCTATGTTGACAGAGTTCAAACAAGATTTTGGAAAAATGTCGATGTTTTAAGAAAAATTCAACAGCAACTTTGAAGGAGGTTGTAGGCTGAGGTGTGACATAATTTTAGGGGGGGGGGGTGGCTTTTTTTGACGATGTGTGACGGAGGAAAGGGGGGTGGTAAAAATCGTAAAAAACAAGCGTGACGTCATTTTTGGATAACCCCTCTAAAGATCGCACTTTGGACAGAAGACATTTCTATATAAAGTAAATGATGTGTTTTGATGAAGATATAGTTGCTATCACAATTCTTACTTTTATTAAGTCACATATTTAAACAGTTTTTTTTTCTTAATCTACCTAATACCGTTAGTTAATACATAGTTATAGTAATTTGGTTTAATTTAAGATTTTATTAGGAAAACTGAAACCATTCAAACGATACACGTAATAGTGGTCTACAAAAGGATGTAAATATGGAGTGCAGGTGAAGTAAAACACAGGCATTAGGTAACAGTCGATCAGCACCAGATCTGCCGAAAGTCATCCGAAAAGTCATCTAGTAGGTCATCCAACAGGTCATGCAGAAAGTCATCCAACAGGTCATGCAGAAAGTCATCCAACAGGTCATGCAACAGGTCATGCAGAAAATCATCCAACATGTCATGCAGAAAGTCATCCAACAAGTCATCCAACAAGTCATGTAGAAAGTCATCGAACAAGTCATCCAACAAGTCATGCAGAAAATCATCCAACAGGTCATGCGGAAAGTCATCGAACAGGTCATCCAACAGGTCTTCCAAAGATCATCCAACAGGTCATGCAAAAAGTCATCCAACAGGTCATCCTGTAGGTCATCTAGTAGCTCATCCATTAAGTCAGGCTGTAGGTCCTGCAGTTGGTAATCCAGTAGGTCATTACACACCTGCTGCAGTAGACCATATACATTAATAGGTATTTCTTTTTTAACCAATGCAATATCTGCTTCGGCCTGTAATAGGAGTAGTATATTAGGTCACTTTTGGACCGCATTTTTGGCGGAGGAGCGCAGGCGCAGGCGCAAAGGTTATATAGTAAAATACTCGGAGGAGCAGGCGCAGCCTGCCGCAGCCTGGGACAATGACATATAGCAAAATACTCCCAGCCTGGCGCATCGGGATGGTGAGGAGCGAAGGGTGAAGGCGCAAAGACATATAGTAAAATATTACGCCAACTGGTGTTGGCGGAGGAGTGAAGGGTGAGTCACCTTTTGGTGACCTTGTGACGTAATCATTGACCTTGTGACGTAATTAGTGACCTTGTGACGTAATCATTGACCTAGTTACGTAACTTTAATGCGTTTTTTAATGAGTTTTAATGAGTTTTTAAAATTTTAATTAATTTTTGACCTAGTTACGTAATTTTAATGTGTTTTTATTACGTAATTGTTTAATTTGTTTGATTTAAATTGTTTAATTACTTTGTTTATATTGTGTAATTTTTATTAACGAGTTACGTAATTTGATTATTTGTTTACTTTTTAATTATTTTTTATTTTGTTTATTTTTAATTTTATTTTATTTTATAATTAGTTAAATTATTATTAACTAGTTACGTAATTTGATTTTAATTACTTTTGTTTATTTATTTATTTGATATATTTCTTTTCTTTGTTGTTTAATTTGTTGGTTTGTTTATTTGGTTGTATGTATGTTTTAAATAAAAGACTAACACTAGCATGTACTAGAACAGTCTTTGTATAGGGACCATTCAGCAACACAACGAACGGTTACCGAAAATAGAACATCCATTTAACCACATCTGTTACATATCGATCCGCGATCCTTTGTTCTTGTCAAGCACCGTACAAGGGCCAAGTTAATATTGATTCCACCCACTGACCATCAGTATGATGGCCCACCTAATTAAAGTTTGGTCACGCATCGTGGGTTTATGTCGACTACAAACATCCATTAGAGACAACTGTTACTCGCTAATGGCACCCGACACGTATCGATCCACCAGCGATCCTTTGTTCTTGTCAACCACCGTACAAGGGCCAAGTTAATATTGATCGCACCCACTGACCATCAGTATGATGGTCCACCTATGTGTAATTTTTATTAACGAGTTACGTAATTTGATTTTAATTTTTTTTTTGAATTTTTAAATTTTTAATTTTATTTTATAATTAGTTAAATTATTATTAACTAGTTACGTAATTTGATTTTAATTACTTTGTTTATTTGTTTATTTAATATATTTCTTTTCTTTGTTGTTTAATTTAATTACTTTGTATAATTTATTTGTTTGAAATTCATTTTAATTAGTTTGCTTTTAATTTCTTTGTTGTACGCCGTTTGAAATAAAAGACTAACACTAGCGTGTACTAGAAAGTGTCATTGTGTATAACATCCATTTAACCCCAAGCTGTTACTTATTAGCGACAGCTTGTACTTATCGATCTGCCCGTGATCCTCCCCGGCGCTCCCCGTGGTTGCTTAATAGCGGGCTCACTGAAGCGATCACAACAGGTAATTAATCGAAGCCATTAAGTCCCTCTCCGCGTTAAGTGTGGCGACAGCTGGTGCTGTAATTAGTCACGGCTCTCCGCTTTTTTCATTAGACTACAGCTGTACATGAACTATGTTCACATATCATACGCCCGGTCATTCTTTGATCAAATTAAAAAATTTTGTTTCCACATGTCATGCGAACCGTCCCTTGCTATGTATGAAAGATTAATGGTTGTAACTATTCGCTTATAGCGAGGGTCAGCGAAAACAAAAATATATTTAAGGGTCGGAATTTTCTTTCAACCACCGTTAAGTCAGGTTTTGAGACGAAACGAAGTCTCGGTAGGTTCGTGTTTTTTAATGGGCGACAGGGCGACTTGGTGCGTTGGTACGTAGGTATGCGGGGTAGACATGTTTTTTACAAGTCTGGAAAAGTAATTACGTTTTTTTTTTTTTTTTTTTTATGACCGTTCCGATTTTCTTTTGATCTGACCACCATTTGACCACACTGAGCCAGATAAATTTAACAATAGTCGCAGCGGGGTTTATTTTAAGTGCACCCCGTGCACGCTTGTTTACATTTTAAAAGACGTGTCGCGTGTCTTCCCCTTACGGCTTCCCTAATAGAGAAACGAGAGGAAAGACAACTGTTCTAAAATTAGAACAGCCTTGTTTACAGCCACGAGTATCGTCCCTTGTGAAAAAATTCGCGTCAGAATCATTAACTAAACATTCAATTTCTTTAACAAGTTAAAAAATAATTTAGGAAGACAAGGGTTAACAACATTAGACGCCACCGTTTTTTGTTTCCTGCGACGACAAGGCACAATACACTTTTTTATTTTATGTCTCAAGTAGAGGGGTGGGATATTTTTTTCTTTGTAAGCGTGTTGTAAACAATAGGTAGACGAAGCGATTACTAAGTAAGAGGGGAGAGAAGTGACGTACATCGCGATATTTGAAAACATGGCGATGTTTAACCTCAACCAAAAAAGGCAATGAACCTAGAAGGAAGACGAATATATATCTTAGTCTTGCAGCAGATTACCTGCCCATGTTCGCTTTAGTATTACAGTTTTCATCAAACTTCTTTTTGACTTGAACTTCTTTAATTTTTTAAGAAAGTTTACTTATACATATTACATTACGTCTAATGACAATTTTTTTATTTTTACCACTCATGTATTTTCTTTTTCTATATCTTACATTGTCATCTTAATTTTTGATCACCTTAGTAAAAATTTGCTTAAGATTATAAACTTCAAGTTTTAAAAAACAACAACGTTATAGTACGTCGTGTCAAATGACACACCGTTTAAAATGTCTACATTTAAATTTCACCAAAATAATGATGTATAAACTAAATATGATATGACGTTAGCATACATATAATTCAATCTAATCACTCTAAAGTACAAATCAATAATTTTTATTGATTAAGGGGCTGGGTGAGTTATTTTTATTCGGGCGCCCAGGGAAGTTTGGAGTTGGTTGGAACAGATTTTATACACGAGTCGGTGATGTTTTCACCGAGGCAGGGTTCGAAGCTAGACCATGCATGTTTTGGAATTGTTAGGGGTCGAGTCTATAGTAGGGTCGGGGAAGTTTTGTTAACATAGACGGATGTTTCGAAGTTGGTACATCCATGTTTTAGAATTGACAGGTAAAGAGTTCATACTAGGGTCGGTGAAGTTTTCACCGAGGCAGGTTACAAAGTTGGGACATGCATCTTTAGGAATTGTTGGCAGTCGAGTTCATACTAGGGTCGGGGAGTTTTGCTAACACTGAGGCAGGTTGTAATGTTGGTACATGCATCCTTGGAATTGTTAGGGGCCGTGTTCATACTAGTGTCGGTGAAGGTTGGTTTTGAACTCGGAACATGTATGTTTTGGAATCGGTAGGTCTAGAGTTCGTACTAGTGTCGGTGAAGGTTGGTTTTGAACTCGGAACATGCATGTTTTGGAATCGTTAGGTCTAGAGTCCATACTAGGGTCGGTGAAGTTTTCACCGAGGCAGGTTACAAAGTTGGGACATGCATCTTTAGGAATTGTTGGCAGTCGAGTTCATACTAGGGTCGGGGAGT